CTCCAGCCTGGGTAACATGAGTGAAACTCCGTCTAAAAAAAAAAAACAAAACAAAAAAAAACTGACCTTTTACAGTTACAGGTGGTGAGCACCTGTAATCCCAGCTACTCAAGAGGCTGAGGCAGGAGAATTGCTCAAACCCAAGAAGCAGAAATTGCAGTGAGCGGGGAGCACACCACTGCACTCCAGCCTGGGCAACAGAGCAAAACTTTGTCTCCAAAAAAAAACAACTGTTTTTACAATTCTATACTAAGCTCAGGCCATCTCTTGTATTTGCCCAATCTGAATCTATTCTCCTTCACAGCCCTCTTCATACATAAACAAGCAATTTTACTAATTCTCATCTCCTACCCCACAAAAGTACTTGGTTTCTAATTAATACTTCTTTTTTTTTAAGACAGTCTCGCTCTGTCATTCAGGCTGGAGTGCAGTGGCATGGTCTTGGCTCACTGCAGCCTCTACCTTTTGGGTTCAAGCAATTCTCATGCCTCAGCCTCCTGGGTAGCTGGGATTACAGGTGCACACCACCATGGCCAGCTAATTTTTGTATTTTTAGTGGTGATGGGGTTTCGCCATATTGGCCAGGTTGGTCTTGAACTCCCGGCCTCAAGTGATCTGCCCACCTTGGCCTCCCAAAGTGTTGGGGTTACAGGCGTGAGCTGCTACACTCGGCCTGGTTTCTAATACCTCTAACACTGCATGTACATCTCTCTAACACCGAAGACTATCTTTAGCAATGGGGACCTGATCAAAAAAAGAAAAGGAAAAGAAAAAGGAGAAAGAGAAAGGGAAAGGAAGGAAGGAAAGAAGAAAGGATCTTGTAAACATTTTCACCCAAAATATTTTCACTTTGCCACAACTTTCAAAGCTACCCTTTATCTACTCTTCACACTTCAAATAATACTAACAACTTTAACTTATCTGGCAGTAAAATACAGCAGGAGTAGCAGCTACCATTTATTAAATGCTTACTATGCATCAAGTACCATGCTGAGTTCTTTACGTCATCTCATATATTTATTTTGAGACAGGGTCTCACTGTGTCACCCAGGCTAGTGTACAGGGGCACAATCACGTCTCACTGCAGGTTTGACTTCCTGGGCTCAAGCATCCTTCCACCTCAGCCTCCCGAGTAGTTAAAACTACAGATTTGTGCCACTACTCAGAGCTAATTTTTTATTTGCTGTAGAGACAGGGTCTCCCTATATTGCCCAGAGCGGTCTTGAACTCCTAGGCTCAAGCTATCCTCCAGCCTCAGCCTCCAAAGTGCTGAGATTAGAAGGCCTAAGCCACCTCGACCAGCCTGTCATCTCCCTTAATCCTTCCTACAGCCCTCCCAAATAGGCTATAAAGATTTGGAAAAGTTGCCGAGCACAGTGGCTCATGCCTGTAATTTCAAGGCTTCGCGAGGCCACGGTGTGCGGATCACCTGAGGTCAGGAGTTTGGGATCAGCCTGCCCAACATGGTGAAACCCAGTCTTTACTAAAAATACAAAAAATTAGCCGGGCATGGTGGCAGGTGCCTGTAATCTCAGCTACTCAGGAGGTTAAGACAGGAGAATAGCTTGAACTTGGGAGACAGAGGTTGCAGTGAGCCAAGATTGTGCCGCTGCACTCCAGCCTGGGTGACAAGAGCAAAATTCCATCTCAAAAAATAAACAAACAAACAAAAAGATTCAGAGAACTTCATTTGCCAAAGTCCACACAGACTGAAGAATCCACAATCAGAACTGTCCATCTGTCTCAAGAGCCAAAGATATTAACCATTGTTCTGTTTTATTCCAAATACTTTTTTTTTTTTTTGGTCACCCAGACTGGAGTGCAGTGGCATGATCTCAGCTCACTGCCACCTCCAGCTCCCTGGTTCTAGCGATTCTCCTGCCTCAGCCCCCTGAGTAGCTGGGATTACAGGCACACACCAGCACGCCCAGCTAATTTTTGAATTTTTAGTAGAGACGGGGTTTTACCATGTTGGCCAGGATGGTCTGAATCTCCTGACCTCATGCTGCCTCGGCCTCCCAAAGTGCTGGGATTACAGGTGTGAGCCACCGCACCTGGCTCCAAATGCTTTTATTTCTGTCTACAAGATTAAGAAAGCACAGTATGGACAGACGTATGCAAAAAAGTGAACCTTAACCTAAATGTTGTATCTCATACAAAAAATTAATTAGATCATAGATCTAAATATAAAAAAGCAAAACTACAAACATTCTAAAAGAAAACCTTCATATTTGAGGGTTAGAAAAAGATTTTTTTTTGAGACAGAGTCTCACTTTGTCACCCAGGCTAGAGTGCAGTGGTGCGATCTTGCTCACTGCCAACCCTCATCTCCCAGGTTCAAGTGATTCTCCTGCCTCAGCTTCCTTAGTAGCTGGGATTACAGGTGCCCGCCACCACCATGCCCAGCTACTTTTCTATATTTTTAGTAGAGACGGGGTTTCACCATGCTGGCCAGCTGGTCCCAAACTTCTGACCTCAAGTGATCCACCCACCCCGGCCTCCCAAAGTGCTTGTTACAGGTGTGAGCCACCATGCCTGGCCAGGAAAAGACTTTTTAACCATAACATCAAAAGTATGACCCATAAAAGAAAAAATTAATAAACTAGACTTTATCAAAATTTAAAACTTTTCCTCTACAAAAGACACCAATAAGAGAATGAAAAGACAAGCTACAGATTAGGAGAAAATATCTGCAAATCATATATCCTTGAAAGGACTTGTATCGACAATGTATATAAAGAACCCTATAAAACTCAAAGATAAGAAAATAACCCAACTGTTGTTGGTGTTTGTTGAGACAGAGTCTCACTCTCTTGTCCAGGTTGGAGTGCAGTGGCACCATCTCGGCTCACTGCAACCTCTGTCTCAAGGGTTCAAGCAGATTCTCATCTCTCAGCCTCCTGAGTAGCTGGGATCACAGAAATGCACCACCACAACTGGCTAATTTTTGTATTTTTAGTAGAGATAGGATTTTGCCCTTTTGACGAGCCTGGTCTCAAACTCCTGGCCTCAAGTGATCCACCCACCTCCATCTCCCAAAGTGCTGGGATTACAGGCCTGGGCCACTGCACCCTGCCAAACAACCAAATTGTAAAACAGTAAAAGACATGAACGGACACCTCACCAAAGAAAATATAAGGATGGCAAAAAAAAAGCACGTGAAAAAAATGTCCAATATCATTAGCCACTAAAGAAATGTAAATTAAAACCACAATAAGATGTCACTACACAGGTATTAGTATAGCTAAAATAACAAATGGTGATAATACCAAATGCTAGTGAGGATGGAGAGCAGCTGGAATTCTCATAAATTGCTGTTGAGAATGTAAAACATAAAATAGTACACGCATTATGAAAATGGTTTGGCAGCTTTTTATAAAGTTAAATATCACCTAACACATATCCCAGCAACCCCACTCCTGGGTATTTTACTGTAAAGAAATGAAAACTTGGCCAGGCGCACTGGCTCACACCTGTAACCCCATCACTCTGGGAGGCTGAGGCGGAAGGATCATGAAGTCAGGAGTTCGAGACCAACATGACCAACGTGGTGAAATCCCATCTCCACTAAAAATACAAAAATTAGCTGGGCATAATGGCACATGCCTGTAATCCCAGCTACTCGGGAGGCTGAGGCAGAATTGCTTGAACCCAGGAGGCGGAGGTTGCAGTGAGCCAAGATTGCACCACTGCACTCCAGCCTGGTGTCAGAGTGAGACTGCATCTCAAAAAAAAAAAGAAATGAAAACTTATGTTCACACAAAAACCGGTACACAAATGTTTACAGCAGTTCTAATCATAATTGCCAAAAACTGCAAAAACCCAAGTGTCCTCCAATAGGCGAATGGATAAACAAACTGTAGCAAATCCATAAAGTGGAATATTACTCAGAAATAGTAAGGAACAAACTCCTGAGACACACACAACTTGGATGAATCTCAAAAGCACTATGCTGAGTGAAACAAGCCAGTTACCTACCATATGATTCCACCTATATGACATTCTCAAAAAGACAAAACTACAAATAACACACACACATACACACACGTGCGCACGCATGCACACACACACACACGACAAAACTACAGTGAAAAAGAGCTAAGGGATTGCTAGGGGTTGTGGATGGAAAAGAGGTGACTATAACGGCAGAGCATGAGGGAGTTTTTGAGGTGGAACTGTTCTGTATCCTAATTGCAGCAGTAATTACAGAAATCTATATATGTTTTAGAATTCATAGACATGTATACCCCAAAAAAGTCCATTTTACTTATATTAATTTTGAAGATAAAATTGAAAAAATTTAACTCTTCAGGGATAATTGATTAACTAAACAGGGATTTAAAGTTACAGTTTTACCTCTTACTATATATCAAAACACACTCTAAATGAACTAAAAAGCTAAACATAAATTATGAAATAATACTGATCTTAATATATATGACACTCCTACAAATAAATTTTTAAAAAGAATATACCCAGAGAGCCGGCCGGGCGTGGTGGCTCAAGCCTGTAATCCCAGCACTTTGGGAGGCCGAGGCGGGTGGATCACGAGGTCAAGCGATCGAGACCATCCTGGTCAACATGGTGAAACCCCGTCTCTACTAAAAATACAAAAAATTAGCTGGGCATGGTGGTGCGTGCCTGTAATCCCAGCTACTCAGGAGGCTGAGGCAGGAGAATTGCCTGAACCCAGGAGGCGGAGATTGCAGTGAGCCAAGATCGCGCCATTGCACTCCAGCCTGGGTAACATGAGTGAAACTCCGTCTCAAAAAAAGAAAAAAAGAATATAGCCAGAGAAAAATGGGCCAAGACATGAATAAACAGAATTAAGTATAGGAAAATGCTTTATTTCACAAATAACTGAATAAATAAACAGTAAAGCAATGAGACAGTATTTTTTGTCAACTGGATCACACACACAAAAAAAACTTAAAAGAATTGTAACATCCAATATTAGCAAAAGTGGGGGAAAAAACCTAAAGAAAACTAGTTTGGAGGCTAAAGTGCTATAAGATTTCCTAAAGGTAATCTGGATGTCTATACGTATCAAAAAATTCACATACATACACATATACTGTTTTTTCACTTCCAAGAATTTAAGTAAAATAACCCAGTAGTGCAGAAAAATGTATGAAGCTTACTCATAACAAAATATAAATTTTAAAATGTTAAATAATTATACATCTGGCCAGGAGAGGTGGCTCACACCTATAATCCCAGTACATTGAGAGGCCGAGGTGGGTGGATCGATCACCTGAGATCAAGAGTTCAAGACCAGCATGACCAACATGGTGAAACCTCATCTCTACTAAAGCACAAAAATTAGCCAGGTGTGGTGGTAAGTGCTTGTAATCCCAGCTACTCAGGAGGCTGAGGCAGGAGAAACACTTGAACCCAGGAGACAGAGGTTGTAGTGAACCGAGATCATGCCACTGCACTCCAGCCTGGGCAACAAGAGCGAAGCTCAGTCTCAAAAATAAAATAAAATAATTATACACCCCTATAATAGAATAGTAAGTAGTCATTACAAATCCAAGTCACTTGAACAGTTAATGAAATCAGATTATGTTATTTTAGTAATCACTGCTATAATTTCCTACTTGTTCTCTAAAGTAAAGGTAAAAGACTTAGGTTTTGTGGGGTTTTTTCTGTTTTTTGCTTTTTGTTGTTGCTGTTTTCTGAGACAGGGTCTGGCTTCATTGCTCAGGCTGGAGTGCAATAGTACATACAATCTCAGCTCACTGCAACCTCCACCTCCCAGGCTCAAGCTATCCTCCCACCTCAGCTCCCAAGTAGCTGCGGCTACAGTGCACACCATCACGCCTGGCTAATTTTTCTATTTTTTTGTAGAAACGGGGTTTCACTATATTGCCCAGGTTAGTCTCAAACTCCTGAGCTCAGGCAATCTGCCTACCTCAGCCTTCCAAAGTGTTGACATTATAGTCATGAGCCACCATGCCAGCCAAAATTTAGGTTTTTCTTTTTATTTTTCTTTTTTTCTGGGAGGGGGGTTGTAGGTTTGCAAGCTAGGAGGGGGTCATAGGGTATCAATTTAGATTTTTCCTCAATGACAAAACAATGTTCATGACAGAATGATATGTTTTCAAAGAAAGTAAAATATAAGATCATATACAAGGTAAATTTTATTTTTAAAATGCATGTGAATTAGGGCCGGGTGAGGTGGCTCACACCGTAATCCCAGCACTTTGGGAGGCCGAGGCACGTGAATCACAGGGTCAGGAGTTCAAGACAAGCCTGGCCAACATGGTGAAATCCTGTCTCTACTTAAAATACAAAAAATTAGCTGGGTATAGTGGCGGGCTCCTGTAATCCCAGCTACTCAGGAGGCTGAGGCAGGAGAATCACTTGAACCTGGGAGGCAAAGGCTGCAGCCAGCCAAGATTACACCACTGTACTCCAGCCTGGGCGACGGAGTGAGACTCTGTCTCAAAAAAAAAAAAAAGCATGTGAGTGTACAGACACATTGATACACACACATATATAGTATTTTCTAAATTTTCTATAATAATAAACATATATTGCTTTCATACATTTTTTCAGATATACTTTTTTTTTTTTTTTGAGACAGAGTCTTACTCTGTCACCCAGGCTGGAGTGCAATGGCACCATCTCAGTTCACTGCAACCTCCGCCTCCCGGGTTCAAGCAATTTTCCCGCCTCAACCAACTGAGTAGCTGGGATTACAGGCACCTGCCACCAAGCCCGGCTAATTTTTGTATTTTTAGTAGCGACAGGGTTTCACCATGTTGGCCAGGCCAGTCTCGAACTCCTGACCTCTGATCTGCCTGCCTCAGCCTCCCAAAATGCTGGGGTTACAGGAGTGAGCCACCCCGCCCAGCCAAATCAATATAAATTTTTTTTTTTCTGAGATGGAGTCTCAGCTCAAGTGCAGTAGCTGGGACTACGGGCACGAGCCACCATGTCCAGCTAAATTTTGTATTTTTAGTAGAGACAGGGTGTCACCATGTTGGTCAGGATGGTCTCAACCTCTTGACCTCGTGATCCACCCAGCTCGGCCTCCCAAAGTGCCACTGTGCCCAGCCAATATACATTTTGTTAAATCAACTAAATTATATCCAAAATGAGTTTAAAACTTTTTTCTAACCCGGATTATCTGGTATTATCCTGGTCACAAGCATTTCACTGTTACCTAAGTATGGCAATTCTACATGCAAATTTGTCTTTTAGTTACTAATCCAAAATGAGCCATGATTGTCCAAAGGCAGATGAACTACAGAAAATGGCATTTCATTAATATCATAACCCAAAAGATGCAGAATAATGTGTATATTAAAATTAGCCTTTTGTGTCTCAAATTTTGTTTTTTGAGACAGTCTCATGCTGTCTCCCAGCCTGGAGTGCAGTGGCCCAATATTGGCTCACTGCAACCTCCATCTCCCAGGTTCCAGCGATTCTCCTGCCTCAGTCTCCCAAGTAGCTGGGATTATAGGCACATGCCACCACGCCCAACTAATTTTTTTTGTATTTTTAGTAGAGACAGGGTTTCACCATGTTGGCCAGGCTGGTCTCAAACTCCCGACCTCAAGTAATCTGCCCACCTCAGCCTCTCAAAGTGCTGCGATTACAGGCATGAGCCACTGCGCCCAGAGCGGTATGTGCTAAAACCTTTTAAAGACATTTCTTTAATACATAGAAACTTACAACCTGCTATGTCCATATACATTTTTTTTTCAGTTCAATATTATAAGAAGCCATAAGAAATAGTTATCTTTTTTGGTGGGGGAAGAGGTTTATATCTCCTGTTTGATTTATGAACCATTTTCATATTCTTTTTTATATTTGACATTTTTTTTTAAATTTCTTCTTTAGTTTGCACTTACCATGGAGCACTTCGCCAGTACTTCCTCCTGGAATCTCAGGAATCCTTCCTGAACTTCAACTTCATTGAGGAAAAAGGAAAGGAAGTGAGTGAAGGGCTGTTTTCTTCTAAAAGTGTCCAAAAGAACATCAATCCGTGTTCGGGCTGAAATTACACCATTTCGATGCTGGCCAGTGATTACTGCAAATGAAGAAAGGGTTAACATGGTCAAGAACCCCCAAATGTTTATAAGATAGGGGACCTCTTGATACTGCCATCTCTGAGGAGCTAAAGCAGTTCTGAATTCCTATGTGAATCTAAACAGGGGACAATAACAAGTGTAAAAAAACTGCTAATTCATGGTGGCGCGTGCCTGTAATCCCAGCTACTCAGGAGGCTGAGGCAGGAGAATTGCCTGAATCCAGGAGACGGAGGTTGCAATGAGCCGAGATCGCGCCATTGCACTCCAGCCTGGGTAACAAGAGCGAGGCTGCGTCTCAAAAAAAAAAAAACTGCTAATTAATTCAATGTAAGCAGAATAAGGCTTATAAATAGAAAATATCCTTAAGATGCCTTATAAAGTAGAAAAATGAATTCAAATGCTACAAAGCAAACCTTTGCTGGTAGGAATGTAAAATGGTGTAGCCACTATGAAAAAGTTTGGTAATTCCTTTAAAAGTTACACATAGCTGGGCGTGGTGACCTGTAATCCCAGGATTTTGGGAGGCTGAGGTGGGCAGATCACTTGAGATCAGGAGTTCGAGACCAGTCTGGCCAATATGGCGAAACCCCATCTCTACTAAAAATACAAAAATTAGCTAGGAGTGGTGGCACATGTCTGTAATCCCAGCTACTTGGGAGGCTGAGGCATGAGATTCATTTGAACTCAGGAGGCAGAAGTTGCAGTGAGCCAAGATCATGTCACTGCACTCAAGCCTGGGTGACAGAGTGAGAATAAATAAATAAATAAATTTAGAGTTGTCTAACAATTGTGTATGATGATAAAACACTTATTTGAAAAATTAATAATCTAAAAGAAAAAAGGAATAGATAAATGTTTATAAAACATATAGACATAGCCACCCCTGTTCTCTGTTTTTTGAATTTTTAGTTTAAATTTTCAATAGACATGGATGTTGCTATGTTGCCCAGGCTGACCTTGAACTCCTGGCTCAAGCAATCCTCCCATCTCAAACTCCTGAGTAGCTGGGACTACAGGAATATACCACTGCATGCTTCAAGCGATTCTCTTGCCTCGACCTCCCGAGTAGCTGTAGCTGGGATTACAGGCATGCACCACCAGCTAATTTTGTATTTTTAGTCGAGACAGGGTTTCTCTATGTTGGCCAGGCTGATCTCAAACTTCCGACCTCAGGTATTCCACCTGCCTAGGTCTCCCAAAGTGCTGGGATTACAGGCATGAGCCA